CGCTTAAGATGCCAATCGAGGCAACCTCGCAGCAGCAGCAGGAGGCAATGGCATAGATGCGTAGGGCAATCGTAGTGTCGATTTTTGAGAGTATGGAGATAGAGGAGCAGAAATGTACAGAAAGTAGTAGATATCATTTTCTGTGAGTGTTGTTACAGAAGTAGGTAGCTTCTGTTTAGTTTCTTAGTATGTAAACATGCAATGCCATTTGGCTTATGGAATGCGCAGCAGATTGCACATTGTGATTAGCAGTAAGATTTTCATCGTTTATTTTCTTTATCTCCTTTACTTATTGGAGTTTTAACGAAACATCTTCACTTTTAACGAAAATGATATTTTTACTCTAAAAAGTCATTTTTGGTACTATTTATTTATGATATTTTTGTTTCCTGTTGATTAAAATTCAAAGTTTTTAAATCATTTTCATTAGTTTTCTTTTACTTATTTGCTTACTTAACCTTGCAATAATATTTTATTTTTTATCTATTCGATAATGCAATAAATTTTAGAATTTTAGAACTTTTTCAATACATATTTTGAATTTATATGCAAGTCTTGTAGTCAATTATCTAAAATTTGATTCTGAAACTTTTTGGATCCGACCGAAAATTACCCTGTTAGAAGGAAATGATCCTTTCTGGATCTCTTCCTCCTAATCCACAAAGTTCAAGGATTTGGGCTATTGAAATTTAATTCAATGGTTACAAATAGAGGTTCATTTTAAAAGTTATAATAACTTTAGTCATTGAATCAAATTTCAATGATCTGGATTTTCGAAGTTGGTGGATTAGGAGGAAGAGATCCAGAGAGGATCCCTTTCCCTGTTAGAAAATGTTTTTAGAAAGTCAAATTATAATGGTGAAATAATAATTATAATTGATGAGATAATTTAAAGTTTTATGTCAAATTTTGTGTGTTTTCAATCAAATTGTTAAATATTGTTTTCTTATTAATGTATATTTTATATTTATTTTTTTTGTCAAACCATAAGTTTTGTTAGATTAGCAGCGACGAGATTCGAACCCACGCTGTCATGCAGTAAATTTTTAAATGGTTGTATTTATTAATAGAATTGTAAAACAAAATTTGTATTCGTTGAAATGTAGTGCAACAAGAGATCCATCATTAAATTAATAAAAAAAAATTTAACGTTGATGTCAAATAACATTTCGGTTGAAAGAATTTTTTATATCAAATAGGCACAATGACATTCCCACCTAAGCTTTTGCTGCATTACCCTTTGCCTTGCCGTTTCAAAGAGGCTACTTCGGTCAAAGCCTTGAGAGAGACGACATGCCGTTTGCTAAATTTTAGTTTTAAATCCGACCATTATCCAGTAGCAACAGTTTCAGAGACCTACAGCAGCTAATGGCCATGGCTATTCAAGTAGCAGGCCTCCGGCTGCCCAACTCCTCCTCCTCAACCCACACTCACTTTCTTCTCTGCCGGAACAACAATCTGAAACCACCGCCATCCTCCACCTCTCTCTCCGCCACGGCTTCTCTCTCATCCCCACCTCCCTCAATCCAGGCAAGAATTTGCAGTTTCCTTTTCATGTTTTTTTAAACCACAAAAGGGTTTCTGTTTTGTGGTTGAATCTTTTCTGGGTGGATCATTTGAGTTGAACGAATCGATATTTCTGAGAAACCTTTATTTTTTGGCAGATTATTGGTGGCGGGAGAGCTCCGAGCTGGTACGAAAATGGAGGTGCCAATCTGGATGGGTTCCAAGAGAGGGATGATGATGACTGGTGTGACCTGGATGCTGAACTTTATCACTGGACCAGGCAACTGCGTCCTGTTCAGGTAACCCACGATTCAATTATTCAAGAATTGGGAAGTACTTTCAGAAAAACACTTTTTCTGATAGGTGCTTTTTAGTAGACGCACTTTTATTAGAAGCATGACCTAATATAATTGGATTATTCAAGAATTGGGAAGTTATAGTTTTTGGGAAATATGCACAAACCGAACTGCTTATAAATTTTTGATACAAAATAAAGCTGGAGAGACACTGAACAGATGGTTTATGGTCACTAAACAGTGGTTTATTTACGGCTTATTGTCTGTTTAGTGTCCCCAGTTCTGTGTTTGGTTAAAAGTTTGTGACAGATTCTATATGTGGATATTCCTCCGTAGTTTTCTAAAGGTGATATGCTTATATGCTTGCTGCATAATTGGACAGTGGTACCCAGGTCACATTGCTAAAACGGAAAAGGAACTCAAAAACCAACTCAAGTTGATGGATGTAGTGATAGAGGTTCGAGATGCGAGAATTCCTATGTCAACTAGTCATCCACAGGTCCGAGCTCTTTATGAAATTATGAAATTGTCGCTTCTTGAGTTGATCGTTGTCATGCTTGTAACCATGAGCTGGTATTCAAAACTATTCAGCCTTCACCCTTTTCTTAATTTATGTAAACTTTTGTCTCTATTTTCTTGTGAACAGATGGATCTGTGGCTTGGTAATAGGAAAAGAGTTTTGGTGTTGAATAGGGAAGACATGATATCCACGGCAGACCGGAATGCTTGGGCTACCTATTTCGCAAGGGAGGGAACGAAAGTTGTGTTTTCAAATGGAAAACTTGGAATGGTACCAGTACCACCCTTATAAGAGAATCCTTTTTCAGCTTTCCCTAAATTAAAATGCTATAGCAGAATTTGATTTCTTAAACGTGGCAAGTACAGGGAGCTATGAAGTTAGGCCGGTTAGCTAGATCACTAGCAGCAGATGTGAATGTCAAACGCAGAGCCAAAGGACTTCTTCCACGTGCGGTGGGTTCCTTATACGTTCTTTCTGGTTTTTAGTTTTGAAATTTCCAGTTCACGAAACTGACAACTAGGAACTGGGGTAATGAACTATCTTTGCCTAGCGTTACAAACTGTCAAAAAGAGCCATATATTCGTAAATGATTTTATCTAGTTAATGATTTTGATTACAAATCGGATAATATTAGTGGTCAACGGGTCTGGTGAGAGTACTTATGTTAATTAGTAATTGGATGAACTTTTGGAAGGCAAACTGTGCCCTAACAAAATAGTTCTTGTGTTATATAGATGAGGGAAATGGGGAACTGTAGTTTTGCTTTAATCCAAAGAATATAATTACAGCTATCAGTTGATGCTTCATATAGGACTTATGATCAGTGATAAGAATTCCTTTTTACAAACAGGTACGAGCTGGTATAGTTGGATATCCAAATGTTGGGAAATCGTCTTTGATTAACCGTTTGCTGAAGCGAAGAATGTGCGCAGCTGCTCCAAGACCTGGAGTGACAAGAGAATTGAAGTATAAACTTCTGCTTTGGTTACTTAGACATGCATATAAGATGCAATTAAGATTAGGGAAAATGAAACCACATTTCAATGAAGTTAACATACTAAATTCTTCAATATATTTTTCTTCTTATGTAACTTTCTTGTACCTGTTTAAGGTGGGTTCATTTTGGGAAAGATCTTGAATTGCTAGACTCTCCTGGCATACTCCCTATGCGGATTAGTGATCAAACAGCAGCAATAAAACTTGCTATTTGTGATGACATTGGAGAGAGATCCTACGGTGTTGCTGATATTGCTGCAGTACTGGTCCAGATGCTTTCAAAGCTTCCATCAGTAGGTATGTATCACATTTCTTTTTCAGCTCAATCTACTAACCTCTGACGGTACTTGTCAATGTGGCCTTTACATTGGAAATTTTCTTTCAAACGAGCACACCGGGTGCCATCTTTTTGCCACCTTTTGTAAGGTATCTCAATGTCTGTTAGCTTATGGGAACAATAATGTTGTAGAAGCTAAAAATCAGCTCCAGTCACCTCTAACGTTTGTGTAGAGTATATAATTTTGTGGATGAGTAAAATAGGCCAATTTGGTGAGCCCGGGAAGTTCAATTCTATGGGGTTTCAGTTACGTAAATCTATGTCATGGTAACTGAAAATACAGTAGATTGGAATCAAGGTACTTTAGTACTTTGGATGTTCGGTCCCTATATTTCAGACAGATCTCTACATCTAAAAACTATATTTCAAATTTGAGATTTATCTTTCATATGAAATCTTTGAGATATATTTTGTCTTGGTGTTCACTGCCTCCAATCATTCTCAATTTCTCAGGTGTAAAGGCTCTTAACAACCGCTACAAGATGGATGCTGATGGTCACTGTGGAAAAACGTATGAATCCGAGTTTCTATTTAACATCTGTATTTTCACTTGTAATAAACGATTTGGTTAAGAATCAGTTCCGCTCAAGATTCAGATACCATGCTAGCAAATTGAAGAAACCTCATGCGCATAAAGTGGGTATAAGTTTTCTAATCTCTGCTAATTTGTAATTGCAGATATGTTCAGAAGCTTGCCGTTCACATGTTCAATGGGGATAGTCATCAAGCAGCATTTCGTGTGTTGTCAGATTTTCGGAAAGGGAGGTTTGGTTGGATCGCGCTCGAGAGGCCTCCCAGATGATATTTTATTGGGACGACTTGGTGGTAGGCAAGTAGTCAAGCTTCACAGGTCACTCTATAAACATAAAAAGAACCCCAATCGCTGACATGCACAAGCTAAGCATCTTCATGGAGTACCAAAGTCCAGGCAAGTGAAGATGCCGGTGCCATGAAGACTAAAAACCAAGCTTCATCTTGGAGTAAAAACGTCGATTAAGGAGACAGCCATGAAAAGTTTCATAGCCGAAGCCGGGAGATGAGCATATAGGCAATGCTGGCTCGCGCTCGTAAGGTATAACATATATACTCAAAACAATATCAAGTTTTTGTAAACTAAATCTCAACCGGAGGCCTCTTCGTGTATTTCATCTCGGGTGCATGCCCCAAAGACTCTTACTTTGAAGACGGGCACACTGCTGTGTAGCGTATATGTAGTAATTCGCACGAATAATTGAAAATCCGGTTTGAAAAGCCGTACTTTCAACGGAGATTTTGATTTTTTTTGTGTGATTTTGCTGTGTCTTGTATCACACGCAAGTTGTAAATCCAGTAGTTGCAAAGTTGCTACTAAACAAAAAGGAAAACTCACCTGCACACTATTTCTTACCCATACAGTTGAACAATCTGTTTCTTCTACACTTGGACAACAAGGAAACCGAAACTTTGCACAAAACGAAAGCGATATACTAAAATTATTGTTCACTCGTTTTACCTAACAATCGGAATTTGTGTAACTCAATGAAATTCAGAAAATTCGTGTAATAAACGTTGAGATGATACGACAATCTGTGTCATCTCGCAACTGTGCGAGCGTAAGTTGAATCTTCCTTTTTCGACTTCGACCAATTCTCTTTGATCCCGCAAGCTTGGATTGAGCGTTCGATCTGGACTCCTGCAGCTTCTTTTTCCAGTTGAGAGCAATATTTTGTGAATGTCTCTAGATTAACTTGCAGTCTGAAATCTATCGTAAACAAGAACTTCATTTCCAACCTATTCAACTCCGCTGTGCTCACTCCTCCCACTTTTGCATAGTATGCGTTGTTGAAGAATCTGCAAAACCGCGTTTGAATCTTTAATGTCAGAAGCATTTCCAATAACGAGATGATTCACATAAATCAGATTCTATGATTTAGTACTTACGCGTCATCCATAAATTTCGCCGCTAGCATTACACTCGTTATCAGAAGCCGGTGAACATTGAAAGAAGTTAAATGCACTTCTGTGCACTTAAGATATCTGTCAACATAGATCTGCGCAACAACGAAGCACGATGGGCTACAACCAGAGTACTTACAGATGCGATCAATATACTGTCGAATGCTCAGAGGGGGTGCTCTTAAACCATGAAATATGGTTATAACTTCTTTAATATTTGTTGTCTCCAATAGCATCTCGTTCCTTTGAACAGATCTCTCGAGAATTGAAGAGAGAGGTGACAGCACCCGAGGAGTTTTCACTACACCTTTGCCCGATGTCGTAAGCCCCAAGGAGAGGTAAACATCTGAACTTCCATTTTCATTGTCAAGTGCTAAAGTTCCCATATTCAAGCTGCAAAGTAAAACATTGATTTAGCGAAAATGAACAAGTCATCCGGCATGTCTCTGCAAATTGTAGCCCAAATACAATACGCGTTACATGTTCTATATTTTGGGTACGACAGAAGTTTCATTGAACACACAACGCAGCATTACGAAAAACTATTGTGAGGTAGCATTAAAAGTACTGGGACGAAAGAACTAAACAACATCTTTACCCCGAAAGGAAAAACTACGAAAGAGCATGTGGAAGCACTTTATGTGGAAGCACTTTTACCTTCTTTGTTATTATTCTTGAAATATTTCTAAAAATTGGTTTCTAAATCCTAAATATTTGCTCCTCTTATCAATTGCAGACACTGAATAACATCTAAATCTAAATTTATAGAAGTATTAGCCGATTTCCCCCTGAACTTGTCTCAACTTACATTAATAGCCAACTACCCAGTTAGACTTTCCAATTTTCCATCCATTTTATATTATTTTGATTCCTGAGTAGTAATCCAAGTGATCCAATTCTAGCACCAACTTCCTACCCACTTTCTCTACTCATAAAAAAAAAAGCATTGAAATCTGAAACAGCTACTAAAATTATGAACTTGAAGCTGTATAGAATGTCCAAATATATGAAGCTGAGACTAATTTATCATCAAATGCTCCAAAAATTTGAATCCCAAAAGCAAATTTCTCAAAAAATATAAGAACTTGAAGTCAAATAATCAATAGAATTACAAACCCAGAAAAGGAAATCAATAAACTCAACAAACCAAGAACAACCCACAAATTATCTGATCAAGAAACATAAAAAGGAACAAGCTTTTTCATCAAATCCCAATTCAGAAGATGCAAGATCCAAATCCCACGTCCCCAATCAATGAATTTAAACAATGCTGTTCATGCAGGGCATATGAGAATAACTTAGAGAGAGAGAGAGAGGGGGGGGGGAGGGAGAGAGTTTTGCTTACATGAACAAGCAAAGGCAGAACAATAGTAGCTCATGGAGTTTCTTCTTCCTCCTCTCTGGCGCCAAATCACCTTTATGCAAACAATCTGCTGCAGAGTCAGGAGGAGAGAGAGACAGAGAGGAGAGAGAAAGAGCTTTGCTTTGCTTTGCTTTCTCTATGCAATCCCCAAGGCAAAGGCAATGCTACATCTACTCCCTCTTCCTCATTCTCTCTCTCTTCACATGGAAGGGGAGATCTCTCTGTGTCTATCTCTCTCTAAATTTGCATAAAAGAAGGTGTCGGTGTGTACTCAACACCAATTTTTATTAGGGATGGGCTGCAAAGACTTCTTATTATTCTTGCCTTCTCAATGGTGAAGTGGGACCCCTCAAGACTGCCTTTCCTTTTCTTTTACACCGCAAATGGAGGAGGTGGATGATTGCACTCAAAATTATAATTTATAGTTATTTAAATTTTAGTATTTAGCTTTGCAAATTTAATTCCTTGTAATTAAAATATAGGAAAACTTTACTTTACAATTTACATCCTTCTAAATAGGCTTCACAATTTCTTAGATGATTCATTAATTCGACACGAAAAGAAAATAACAGATTTTGAGTCGATCCGTTAACAAGTTAGATTGTCATCGAGTCGTTGTTGAGTCACCTCTTAAGAATCCAATAAGATATCGTTTGTCAGATTTAGACATTAAGTATGATAATTTTTGGTGTGACCTGTTAATCTGACACAAAACGATATGACTCGTTAACTAATCGGGTTATTATCTGATAATCTATTAAGAATATTTTAAGATAACGAATTTGACATGACACAACTCGTTAAGATATACATGTATGACACGAAAATGATACATGGTTTGTTTGCCATGTCTATTTCCAGAGAAAAAGTGAAAGTGCTAAGAAGCGGCCAATACACGTGATGAAAGATGTACATATCAAATAAATTTCCCTTGTGCATTAGAAATTTTCGGTAAATAAAAAGGGGTGTGATATCCACACATCCCATTTTACTTTTCACACATCTTTTTAATTTTCGGTCATCAGATCAGATGAATTGAACATGATCAACGGACAAAAATGATCAAGAAGTGTGTAAGAAGTAAAATAGGATAAAAACCCAGAAATGACCTTATGAAACTCAATACATGTACTTACAGTGTAAAATTTTGTTTTCTTTGTCGTACATGATGAGGACCCATGTGCGTTGTGTAAGGTAGGAGACCAGGAGAGTCCTTTACTAAATAAAAATGTGAATAATCCAAATTCTTAAATATAATTCTATTTCTCCTTTAATAATGCCACAAGATAGGACATGACACCTTTCAGTGGGTCACTTGTATTGATAATGATTGGCAACCATAAGGTGTGGATCTTGATTAATCCCTAATTGTTAATCAAGTTCAAATACGTTTATCATTCATCTTCACTAAATCTCCGTGTTTGGAACAGTGGAATTTGACAATTTGGACCGAACAAGAGGGAGAGTTCTGAGCCATTCAAAGAGTTCGTTTTATGTGATCTTAATCAATGTAATAGGTTAACGAGGATTGCATAATTAAAATTAAGATGTTTAGATTTTCAAATTTGGTGACTTTGAACACAGAAACTTAGAAATGATCTCTCTTCTTTATGATCCATTATCATTATCCAAGTGGGGTGACTGGTTTTCCTCCTTTTGTTCTTACGGTTTGATTGGATTTTGAATAACCTATCACTTTGGAAATATCTAATCTCACAGTTTTACTCAAGATTTTTTCCTTGTCATTTCACGTTACGTTTTTTAGTGAAACACTCATACATGGGTATATCTCAATGATATTCTTAACTTTCACCATCAATTAACATTTGATATTCCTACCATTTACGTGATGATTAAGGCACTTTCAATATTATCCAATTATTTTCTATGGAGTAAATTGTGGTAATGATCATTTAACTTAAACTCAATTAGAGCAATGATCCATCAACTAAAAATATATTAGGCCATCTTCAACCAAAGGGTCCAGAGGGCTAGACGGCTCGTGGAATCTAAAAAGGTCCCACGGAATCTGAAAGGGCTGGCCAGAAAAACTCTTAATCCTGTCAGTTATAACCGACATGAATGCTAAAACTAAAATTTGAATCCAATAGCTAGTCAGCTAACCGTTGGATTAAAAAAAAATTCTTTGTTTTTTTTTTGGTTTTTTGGGGCCCTTTTTTTTTTGTTTTATTTTCTTAAAAATTCGAATTTTTTTTTCCTATAAATACCTAAAATATTCATTCACCATTCCTACACCATTAATTTGTAGTTTCTAAATTTAATTTGTCGTTTTTAAATTTAAGTTGTAGTTTTTAAATATAAGTTGTAGTTTTTTAATTTAAATTGTTGTTTTTAAATTTAAGTTGTTGTAGTTTTAAAATTTAAATAATAAATTATGTTTGGCCTTATGGCTCTAAGTTGGAGACGGTTTTTTGTGACAGGGCTAAAACTAGCCCTATGACCATTTGGTCCTCGGTTGGAGACGGAGGCAAATATGGTCATGTACTGTTCATTAAAATATTAATATCTTGGAGCGCCAGATGGCTAAAACGAGCCCGCTGGCCAACTCTCGGTTGGAGATGGCCTTACCATTGGTCCCTCGACTAAAAATCTATTACCATTGGTTCCTCAACTTATCAAAATGTGCATCTATGGTCCCTCAACTAAAAATTCATTACCATTGGTCTCTCAACTTTAATCCAACTGGAGAAATGGTCTCTCAACTTTAACCCTATTGGAGCAATAATCCCTAAACTTTAACCCTCATTTTGATAAAATTCCGACGAAGTTGACGAAAAGAACCGTAGCTACACATTTTGATGAGTTGAGAGACCCCAACTGTAGCAATGGTTCTTCTAACATAACTTATTTTGACAAAATTCTAACCAAATTGACGAAAATGACCATAACTACACATTTTGATGAGTTGAGGAACCAATGGTAATAAATTTTTAGTTGAATGATCATTGCTCTAATTTAATTAAAATTAAAGAACTATTGCTATAATTTACTCTTTTTTATGACAACATATGAAATTTGAAAAGTCACGTGATGAGTGAAACGCTCACACGTGAAGAACAGTTAATGCTTGAGATTGTTCCCAACAGCTGGCATTTGGCATTCCGCATTGGCATAGGGCTGAGGGGGACAAGTGAACGTAAGGCTGCACGTAACAAGTTTCTTAAAAGTTTTGTTGGCATCCCCTCCTCATTAGTCCTCGATTCCAGGCCAAAATTACAGTCCGGTGGGTACAGCTGGCAGATGTCGGATCCCACCGGCTTAGAAATTTGGACTGCAAATTATGTCGGTGCAAAACTAAATTGAGAAATTGTTTGTCGGAAAGTGTTAGAGAAACTATATTTCGTATCAGTATTATATTGGTGAACTATTTAATAGGACAAATAATATGTATACGTTATTTTTTACATTCAAAGAAACAAAAATATGATAATTTTAACATTTAGGCCTAAGTACAATTAGGCGGAGTGGTAGACACCCTTGTTTTGAGTTAATCAACTGCTCATGGTGAAGCCCAATACAAGAAAATGACTAATACAGCACAAGTGTACCACTTCAGTTGCACCGTACCAATGAAATAAAGGCATGTAAGTTGTTTTCAAGAGGCGTTCGTCATGTTATTTATGTGTGCGGGTGCATGAGGAGCAATTTTTAGTGAGGAATACGGCTCGGTACACCAAAGTGTAATAATACAAGCACTGGCGAAGCTATATGGGAGCAAGGAGGGGCGATCGCCCATCCCCTCGTCGAAAATTAAGCCTGGGAGCGACAGTCCGCCCCTCTGGTCACGTCGGAAAACTTGCAGCACCGTGAGGGACAAAGTTCCAATAATCTTAGAGGAGGAGGAAGAAGAATTTCAGCCACCAGAACATAAACTCGTGACCTGTTCTCCCCTCTTCGAACCCCTGCACCTCGCAGATCTCGTACACAGGTGGGGTTTGAAGCTCAAAGGAAAAATCGGCGGCGCTGGTGTGTGAAGGCATGAGCAAATGGGAGAGGCGCTGGGCTATCCTAATTTTAAACTAGAAGCTTAAAAAAAACAAAAAAGTAAGAATGAGGTCCTAGCTGCTGCAGTCATGGTGTTGGCCCAAAACTTGGGCCTAGTTGATTTAAAATAAAAGGAAAAAGGAATGGGTTGCAGAGGAAAACTACAAAAGGACGAGTTTCAATACTTTGGTCTTGACTTTGGTATTATTGGTCGATACCGCTTCAGTTAAGAGAGTTTTTTTTGCTATAAGTATTCTCAAAATACCATTGTGTAACAAAAAAGAAGATCAATGGTTGAGTGATAGCTTTGTTGTTTACAGTAAGAGATATATTTTTCTTCTATTGATAATAAACTTATTGTGCAACGTTTTCATGACATTAAACATCGCCGACAACAATTGTAACTTGTTTGTATTGATACATTATGAACGACATTAAAATTTTCCACCATATAAAAGGATTTGGTTGTTATATTTTTTTGGAGCCTTTTACTCTTTTAAATTTCTCCCATTCCCTTGAAAATTCCTGGCTTCGCCACTGAATACAAGTGGTTGAAATTTTTTTTTCCAAGTATTCAACTACTTGTATCATAACACTTTGTACTTGACCGTGTTCATGACATATAGAAAAATCTCTCGTGTCCTTCAATTTCAAGTGCACACGATAAAGTTGAAGGCCCAACTCAAATTTCTCCAGAGACCTAAATCCAATGTCAAAGCCCAACTCAACCATCAAAAATCCCAACCGACGTAAATCTCGTAAATAACCGCAAAACTCAGGGCGTTCATTTAATTGGGAGGGAGAAAAAGAATAACCGGGACGACTTAGGGGTGTGTATTTAATTGAAAATTTAAGAAATTTTAATAGATTTATAAATTTATGGATTTTTATAGACTTTAACTGATTTGTAGAAATTTCATGTAAAATTTTGATTCAATTCTCTCGAAATCTCATGGGGAGAGGTGAGATTTGTGGATGCTTAAAATACACTGCAAAATCTCTCAAATTCCCTATAATTTCTCAACTTTTCCAAATTTTTTAAATCCTAATTCTAATTAAATACACCTGAAATATTATAAACTTATTTAAAATTCTAAATATATTCGGATTTTTAAGGATTTTAATAAACTATCTTAAAATCCTAATTGAATATATATTAAATTTCAGAAAATCGCTTAAAATTCAAATTAAATACCCCTAAATTCATTAAAAGAATTAAACTCCTCCAAAATTCCAATTAAATACACCCCTTAAATTGCACGCTTTCGCTCCCATTTTTTTGAAGTTGGAAAAAAAGATTTGGGGATTTCATGATTTCCCTCCAGTTCAAATTCTTTCAATTTTTCTAATTCCGCCGACGCATCTTTTTTCATATGATTACTCTCTGAGAGCCACACACACCAAAACCCCATACAGATTCGATTCGTTTCCGAGAAAATTTTCACTTTCCCGGAAAATATATAATATTATCCGAACACAAAGCTTTCTCTCTCTTTCGAACTTCAATTTCTAGGGTTTGTATTCTCTCCTCTCTGCTTCCCGAGAAACAGCAGGTACTGTTTTTCTTCATCCAATTATCAAATTTCTTGTTTAATTTTTATGGAGGATAAGAAATGAAGATCTTGTACCATTTTTAGTGTTTGGATTGGCGGTTATGAGATGCTGAATTTTCTTGGAAGCCAAACAGGAAATTTTGTGTTTTTTCTTTCACTCTACAATCCTTACGTTAACTTTTGGTTTCCTCTGGATCGCTAAATTGTCTTTACGTGAATTCTTTGTTAGGTTTGGAAAGCATTGGTCATTTGTTTTTGGAATTAGATATTGAAGTTTTGTGATTTAAAATCTTCAAGAATTCTTTTCGTATCGTTCCAATTTTGTTCATATGAATAAAGAGTCTATCGTTTGTTTCTTTGATGAATTATTCGAATTATGGATCAGAAGCTACTTAGTCATGAATGCGAAAGATTTGATATTTTATGGGTTTTTCTTACAAGTTCGATTTTAAAGGACTCATCTTTATGCTGATGGAGGAGGGTGTCATATATTCCCGAAAATTATCTATTAAGCTGCTTTTGCCTTACCTTCTATTAGGGCGAATGAGGGGCGTGTGCAATAGTTTTCGTTTGAACGAAATACAATTTTTGAAAAAGCATCATTTACTCGCATTTCCTTGTTTTCTTAGAAGTATTTTAGTGGTATTTTAGTGGTCATGTGCGGTGTACAGAATTTGAGGTTCAGCAATTTGTTTGCCGATTTGGAGTTGTAGTTATTTAGTCTTCATATAACTCATCGGAAAACAAAAAGTATGATAATGCATACCGCTAGTTTGAATCACTTGATTTTCTATGAAGGTAATTGTGTGAATTTGAGGTTCAGCAATTTGTTTACCCTTTTGGAGGTTTAGTTATTTGGTCTTCATACAAGGCGTTTGAAAACAAAAATACTACTGCTAGTTTGAAGTACTGTTTAAATTACTCGATTTTCTGTGAATGTAATCATGTGACGGAGAATAATCAGTTACTGCTGCTACTTTTTGTTATTTAGATCACCTCGTGTCTCTTTTATTGGTTCCCTTCCTTACTGTAACATGTATGTTTGCGTTGATCATCTTAATTTACTATCACTTCCATGCATGGTTCCAGGTCACTTTTGACATGGATTCTGCTACACAAACTTTCCACCAACGCACGGTGTCTATCAAATTATGGCCCCCGAGTCAGAGCACCAGGATACTGCTTGTTGATCGAATGACCAAGAATCTCATAACTCCGTCCATTTTCTCTAGAAAGTATGGCCTGCTTAGTAAGAAGAAGCTGAGGAGGATGCCAAGCAAATAGAAGATATAGCCTTTGCAGCCGGAGACCAACATTTTGAGAAGGAACCATATGGTGATGGAAGTTCGGCAGTTCAAATTTACGCCAAAGAATCAAGTAGGCTTATGCTGGAAGTCCTAAAAAGGGGGCCCAAAGTAAAGGAAGATGGAGAGGTGATGCAGTATGAGAAAGCTACTGCTAGCCATGAAAGTGTCTTTGATATTTCTGGTGGTCGCCGGTCCTTTATTGATTCTGAGGAGGCTTTGGAACTGTTAAAACCATTGAAGGAACATGAAAAACCTTACACCAAGATATGTTTTAGCAATAGAAGCTTTGGTATGGATGCAGCCCGTGTTGCTGAGCCAATCTTACTGTCTATCAAAGATCAACTGAAAGAAGTAGACCTGTCAGATTTTATTGCAGGAAGGTCAGAAGAAGAAGCTCTTAAAGTCATGAACATATTCTCTTCAGCCCTGGAAGGATGTGTTTTGAGGTATCTTAACCTTTCAGACAATGCCATGGGCGAAAAGGGTGTCAATGCATTTGGGTCACTTCTGAGATCACAAAACAATTTGGAGGAGCTTTATCTGATGAATGACGGCATATCAGAAGAAGCTGCAAGAGCTGTTTCTAAGTTTATCCCATCCACTGAGAAGCTTAGGGTCCTTCAATTTCACAACAACATGACAGGAGATGAGGGGGCAATTGCCATCTCTGAAATGGTGAGGCGTTCACCTCTCTTGGAGGATTTCCGTTGTTCTTCCACAAGGGTGGGTTCTGAAGGGGGCATAGCTTTAGCTGAAGCACTTGGGACTTGTACCCATTTGAAGAAGCTTGATTTGCGTGACAACATGTTTGGAGTAGAATCCGGGATTGCTCTGAGTAAATCCCTATCTGCTTTTGGAGATCTTACTGAAATCTACCTGAGTTATCTGAACTTAGAAGATGAAGGAACAGAAGCACTTGCCAGTTCTCTCAAAGAGACTGCACCTTCGCTTGAAGTTCTGGAAATGGCTGGAAATGACATTACAGCTGGATCGGCTGCTGCTCTAGCAACCTGTATAGCGGCAAAACAATTCCTAACCAAGTTAAACTTGGCTGAGAACGACCTGAAAGATGAAGGTACAATTTTGATTAGCCAAGCAATTTCAGAGGGTCATGGTCAGTTAACTGAGGTTGATTTGAGCACAAATTCGATTAGAAGGGTTGGAGCAAGGGTTTTGGCGCAGGCTGTTGTGAACAAACCCGGGTTCAAGTTGCTGAACATTAATAGCAATTTCATATCCGACGAGGGGATTGATGAGGTAAAGGAAATTTTCAAGAATTCACCAGATGTGCTGGGACCCTTGGATGAGAATGATCCTGAAGGCGAAGACCTTGACGAGGAGGCTGATGATGAAGGGGCTGATGACAAGGATGATTTGGAATCAAAGCTTAAGGGCCTTGATATTAAGCAAGGGGAATAAAATTATTGACTCATGCAGTTTGCTGTCTTTTTTTTCTTCATTTGATTCGAAACTTGTTCGGATATCAAATTTTCAGATAAGTTAGACTGTTTCTGTATGAGCTAATTTTACAGTTCTGTTGTTGTACACTAGGCTCGTATTTGGACGTTCGAGATTCAAGTAAGATTCAATGTTAAAGATTTCAGCATTTTAATTTGGTTTACTTAGATGATGACATCTAGTAAGTTGCTTCCTGATGAAAAAATAAGTACACAGATGCAAAAATTGAAAAACCATTATTCCTGATTGATCACACTGCTACTGGAACTTTAAGCGACTCGAGTATCTTGTCATCTAACTCAAATTTGATGGCTTTCTTGTCTCTCCCAATCTTCAAGTACTCTTCAAATCGCTCCTTCAAGTCCTCGGCGAGGTTTGTGGTGGACTTCCAACCCAAAATCTCCTTGGCAGCTCTTGGTTCTGCATAGAAGTGCTGCAAGATATACGAAAAATCGACAATGTCAAGTACAGAGCGACTGCGCGATGCTTTGAAACTCATAAGTGCCCTCTTGTATCAATAACATTTCTTACCATGTTACGGAATGGGAAGGCTTTCTTTGCATCAACTCCAGCAGCTTTTGGATCATAATGGACTATGTTGGCAGGGCGTCCGGCAGCTTGAGCACAAAGTTTTGCCAATCCGTCGAGAGTCACAGCACGCTCGCTTACAATGTTGAAGATGTTACCAGATGCAGCATCCGGGTTCTCAACGGCTAGAGTGAGCATGGAGGACAAGTCTCGAACGTGGGAGATGTTGGTAAGTTGCATTCCGGAACCAGGGATTGGAACTGGTCTGTCCCTCACAATTCCTGCACGCAGGATTATCAGAAAACAGCATTGTAGTTTTGTGATGCATGAATGAAACATCAGAGAAGTAATGAAACATCAGAGAAGTGCTTATTCGTGTTATCTACTTACGGTCGAAGAACCACTCCTCACAATCTTTGTTGTTGCCGGAGCCTAACATGTACTGGGGACGGAAAATTGCCCAGCTACCAAATATCTCTGCAATGTACTTCTCTACTGCAACATGACCAGCATCTGCTTTAACAGCATCCTGCAAAAAGTGAAGATTTGAAGACACAAGGGATTAGGATATGCAACGAGGGATTTGAAGACACGAAAACATACGCCTTCAACATGAGGAGGCTCCTCAGTTGGTTTATAAATTCCAGCACTGCTGATGAACAGAAATTGCTTCGCACCGGAGCTCTTCGCCCAATCTGCCACAGGCCTATAAGTATCCAAATTAAATTAGTATGATCTGTTTAGTTCCCGACTAGCTTCATTTTAAGTTCCGCACAGGGCGCTCAAAATCTCGGGCTGACCCTGACAGCGTATGAACATACAGAAAAAGGCTGCACAAGTTGAAAAATGGGTATTCAAGCATTGAAGAAACAGACCTCACAGTGTCCAAATCTTTGCCATTGTTATCCAACACAACATCAAATGCTGCTCCTTCGAAAATCGTCCCAATTGCCGCAGGTTCTCCCCACACTGTCTTCCCTCCAGCACTTACAATTTCCTAAAGAGAAACAAAGAAATACATTCAGATCACACAACAATTCCAACGTTATAAACAAATAAGGACACGTTTTGGATTGCTTCTGAAATAGCTAAAACAGCTTTCTGACAATCAAAAGCGCTTCTAATTGTCTTTGGAATGCTACTTCAAGAAGCACTGCCAAATGCTTCTTCAAGAAGCACTTCCAAATTTCCAATGAATATTTTCAGTGTGTTTGTAATGAAATCACTTCTAGGGTCAGTGCTTAATTACTAGAGAAGCAATTCCGAACGAGTCCTGAGATTAATCCCACATCGAAAATCTAGAAAGAAAAACAATGTGGAGATATTAACTGAGAATCTGGTAAATGGGGGCTTCTTCATCTTGTCCGATCTTTCTTCACCAACTGTCAAGACTGTGACATCGTAGCCGGAACCGAGAAGCTCTTTGGCAAAGTAGAATCCGATAACCGCGTGGCCACCGCTGTTGGTGTTGACTATCAAGACCTTTTTCTTCTCCTCCGCACTGGCCTTGATGCTGAAGGAACAATGGTTGGAGCGCCTGGAAGTGGCAGGGTGTGTGAGGAAAGAGTGAGAAGCTGAGAGGGAGGAGGGGAGAGTGGAGAAGTGGGAGGAGGAGGAGAGAGAGAGGCGGGGGAGAGGGGAGAGAGACGGCGGAGAGAGGTTGGAGGGTGTGGAGGAGAAGAGCACAGAGGAGAAGGATGAAGCAAGAGTGGCCATCGATGACTACCAGTCTAGTTGCTGATTGTGTGAGAACCAGCAATTTTTAGTATAAGATAAAAGAAAAGAAAAACGAAAAAGTTCTCTTTTTGTTTTTTATTTTATTTTAATTCCTTGAGCTCATTAAAATTCGAGAAATGCTAAGGAATTTTTTTCAAAAGTGTGATTTTTCATGGATTTTCTATCACATCATAATTTGATGTTAATTTTCGTGTTAACATTATAAAATATTGTAAAAAAAAATGAGATAGCAAAAAGTCTATGAAAGGTCCCACTTTTGAGTCTATCTCCTTTCAAATTTTAGTTTTGGATACACATGGAGATGAAAAAAATAGAAAAAATAAAGGAAAATAAAAGTGAGAAAAATGATTGCTAATGATAATTAACTTCCAAAAATGTTAGTCAATAGCGTAATATTAGGAGTGGCCGCAATTGAAGATAAAATGAGAAAAAATTGGTTAAGGTAGTTTGAATACGTGAACCGAAGACCTACCAATGCTCCAATTTGACAATGCGTTTATGAGACAGAGGCTCAGGACAAAATGGTAGAGGAATACCTAGGAACACTTGAAAAGAGACTCTAAGAAAAGACATGACGTACTTGTAGCTAACAAAAGACTTGGCACAAAATCGAGTACAATGACATTCTAAAATTTATACGGCCGATCCACTTAATGGGATAAGGCTTTATTGTTAGGGGTGTGATATACACCCCTTTTTACTTCTCACACACCCTTCTAATTTTTTGTTGTCGGATCAAATGAATTGAAGAAGATCAACGGACAAAAATTAACAACTGGTGTGTGAGAAGTAAAAAGAGGTGTGTAGATAGCACACCCCTATTGTTATTGTTGTATGGTGGAAAACCAAAAAACATGTGTACTTATTTAAACTAGAGATGCTATGAGTTGGGAAAGCGAAAAGAGAAATGAGTATAGTTCTTAATTTTTTTTAACTAGTAGATTATTGATTTTAAAGTGAAACTTACGTGTTTGTTGATTCTAAATGTATTAATAAACATATAAAGGTTAAAAATTTAAATAATTTAGTACTTATGTTTCAGTAAACACAAAAAAATCAAGAACATAAAGAATTACAATAACCATTCCATGTAAGTAAAGCAAGAGAAATGCAAGCCCACGAAGTCACTCAAATAATAATACGCATTGCACAATGAGTTTCATATTTAGAGAAAATATTAATGATTGTTGAATTGACAAAAGATATTTAAAGAGATAAAGTTGACATTTGATTTGAACAAATCATCTACAATTCACGATTATCTATAAATTCACTCAAGTTATATCACGCGTTGTGCAATGAGTTCCAAACTTTAAGGTATAATATTACTAGTGTTATATCGACAAACGACATTTAATGAGATGCAACATTTGAAGTGTGTTAAGCTAATGATCTTAAAACACAATGATTGGATTTAAAATAAATTGATCAATTACGATTCCATGATCATTCATGAATTTACTCATATTAATTATAACACGCTTTGACTATAACAGTAACAACTACAATATCACAAGTAATTATATATTTAAAACGAATCAACATACCATTAATGTTATTATCCATCACATGATGGTCTAGGAGTTGGCGACGAATTTCAGGCCAATATTCCACATGGCATGTCTTGGTTCAATTCCTGACGTTGAATTCCACGATGGTGGTAAGGAAGAGACTGAAATGCTTTTATTTATCTTTCCGATCCGTTAAAAGGTGAATGTCGTGGCAAAACCACAAGCTAATCTCCTTTTTTTATTATTTTTTATTTTTAACAATCGATATTATCTATTATAAGGGGGAGGGGAAGTAAGTTAAGCCTCATAATAAACTAGCAATAATGTAGTTCAAATTCGTGTTTGATGAGAATCGAACCTAAAACCTCTCACTTACAAGTGAGCTAATTCCTTTTCTAACGAAAAAAATATATATAACGGTAGCTGATGTTACTGTTACACACAATAATTCTTCTCCACACCCCACACCTCAAAAAAGGCGACGAACTTTGTTAGTGAAGAGATAGGAAAGAAGGGGAAAGCTGTGGTTCAGATCCACTCTGAGTTGAAAGGATCTTGAGATCAATAATAATTTGATTGATTGACTATTTTTGTAACGTTGCCGTTCGGCTCCTCTATATATACCAAATTAAATAAACCAATTAAATATCCCACATAATCTCAAGCTCCAGCAAAACCCAAAAGACTAGCCGTTGCTCCCTTCTCCTCTCTTCTCTCCCAAAAAATGGCAGCTTCAGTGGACACGCCATCGCCTGCCCACCTCAGCAAGCAATCACTCATGGCTTCTTCTTCTCCGGTTTTCAGCCCCTCCTCCGATAAGCGCTTCTGGAGCTCTCTCCGCAGCCGGATCGATGCGCTTCTCGACGATCGGAACTCCAAAATCCCAATTGCTCAGAACCCACCAAATGCCGATCCGTCTCTGCCAATTCAAACGGTGAGTTCTTGGTTTTACTGTAATTTTTTGGCTATTGTTCAATTGGGGTTTCTGCTGTGGTTGTGGATTTGAATGTTTTTACTTTTTTTTTGTAGGAAAATAATGGCGGAGAAACAAAACCTGCGAGAGCGAGGAAGGAGGACTCGTTGCTTTTGATGAGAGGGTTCGATTCCATAGCTTACACTTTGTCTCAGCTCTCCAACACTTTGGATAATGCTCTTCAGGTAAAGTTCGATCCCGTCTGCAGTTAAAGATTTGAACTTTTTACAAATTTTGTCACAGTAAAATATATGTATATCAGATCTGAATTGAAAGAGATTAAATTGGCGATTTTTCAAGGGTACGAACATGTATTAAGTGCGGATGCTTAGAAATGACCCATGTGGTGTATGAGACCGATCAGACGGTGTTGTACACCGCTCAATGTGCCACAATGATGGTATTTTTCGGTGTTCGTATAGTGGAAGAACCCTAAATAGTAATGTTTGAAATTTGAAATTTGCTTTTTGATTGCCTGAACTGTAGAAATTAGTCACAACCGATGTGGGATTTCAGCTTATGGGACTACTTTGTTTGCTGTGTTTATATAGGGAGCCAACGATCTAGCTAAGCCACCCACATTGACAGAGATATTCCATAGCCATCTGAGCAACTCGGAGGCGAAGAGTAAAGAGAAGGAATCGGAAGAACAGCAGAGTGCAGACGATTCCCATGTAGGATTGAAGAGGAAATTCGACGATAGTCATTGCTCAGAGGAACAAGGAGATGAATCCAAGAAAGAAAATGAGCACGAGCACGAAGGCCCGAAAGACGGGAAGCTGAAGAAAGCAAAAAATGTAGGTTTCTCTTTTGTTCATTGTCAAATCTTTGCTGGGTTCTGAGTTGATTGCTAATCCTAATTGTGTGCTTATCTTTCCACAGCTTGCAATTTCAATGGCAACAAAAGCAGCTTCGTTTGCCCGGGAACTCAAGTCGATAAGATCGGATTTATGCTTTATGCAAGAGCGCTGTGCTCTGCTGGAGGAGGAGAATCGGAGGCTCTGGGACGGGATGGATAAAGGGTTGAGGCCTGAGGAAGATGATCTGGTGAGGCTTCAGTTGGAGGCACTGCTAGCTGAGAAATCAAGACTAGCAAATGAAAATTCAAACCTGGTTAGGGAAAATCAATGCCTCCACCAGCTTGTGGAGTACCACCAGCTCACCTCCCAAGATCTCTCTGCTTCGTATGAACAAGTTGTACAAGGGTTGTGCCTAGACTTCTCGTCTCCTCCACGACCGACAGCAGACGAGGCAAATGGTGAAGATGGTGATGCTGCTGCTGATAATGAAGTTTATCAGACACCAAGAAGTAATCTTTTTGGCTTCTCTGCCTCGCTTGATGACGAGTGTTCTCGTGGAGATCATTAGGGAATGGTTTCGAAGATTGTTTTGTTCAGGTTCGAAATTAACTTTCGCAGATGTAAATTTTGATGCCATTGACTTTTATTCTGTGATTTCACTTCACCAGAAACATAAGTATCAATGGAAATTATTGCTTTACTTTGTTTTTCCGAACTTCGTTTCCCATGTAAGTTTCAAAAAGGAAATTCCGACACCAGTTCTCAACAAGGAAACATATCAAATCAGAGAATATAGATGAACTTAGATTCTTCATTAAAGACCACAAAAGTTGCGATTCAACATTCAAGCAAGGAACCATACATCATTTGGGTAACCAAGTACTAAACCGAACTTAAGCTTCATTGTTAAAGCTACTACTGCCTACGGGTTTCCAAACTAACCGGTTTCACACTTTACAAAATACTTGCTAAGCCAATCCAGCTACTGTTTAAACCATTAAGAGTGCTTCTTTCTCTTGTTCTTAGATGCAGACTTGAGATCTTGAGCAGAATCCTGAGGAGAAAGTGCATCACGTGCTGCTTGAGATGAGAAATTCATAAATGTTTCAGTAGCTTTCGATAAAGTTGAAACCAAAATCACGTCCTTCATTTTCTCCATCACTTCAGAAAACGCATTAGTCCCTTTCTCAAACTACAACCAAACAAAGTAAACATGATAATCGCACATTGCTCCGCATATTTAACGGAAACAAGGACTAGAGTTCAAAGTACTCCAAAAAAATCCAAGACTACATGCAAAAGCAGCAAAACTATCATCTTCTTTTGGTTTTTTTTTTTCCCTTTTAATCCTCTGAATACTGTTATAAACCTGTTATAAACTACGGTCTCAAGGTAGCAAAAATAGTCTTACCCCTTCAAGTTTGGCATGAGCAACTTCCAATTTCGAAGTAAGCTCATGGTTCTCATTTGTCAAGTCTTCAATCTGCACACGAGGACGAAATGTCATATTTCTAGACAATAAGATAGTTCATGACGACAAACGGAAATAACCTTCTTCTGAGAGTCGATGTACAAGCTTTTGTATCTCTTCTCTGGGCTTTCAGAAAATCCAGGGCTTCTCTTATTTTCCTATTTCACAAAATAAAAAGGGGTTCTTTATAAGGAACATAAATGAATTATAAATACATATAAGTAAGTAACAAAATCTTATTCCACGGCGAGGTGATTACCTTTGAGTTCATTTTTTCCAAGAGTTGTAGAAGATAGTCCATTTTTTCTTCCATGCTTTTCTCGCCCGAGGTCTGTCCTTCCTCCAAGTTTGTCCCATTCACAGGGGGTTCCTCCAAAAGAGGCTGCTCATCTTCCGTCTCACTCTCACTAACAGTTTCGTACACAGGCTCTATGTCCCCGTTTTGAACAGGCGTAACACTGTTACGAATGCGCAGAGAACGCCTAACAATGGCATCGTACTGCTTGACTCTCTTTCTTGAATGAGATGGTTTGGCAGATTTTTCTTGCATCCTAAGGTTTGAGTTAGTTTTCGGGCTAGCGTTTTCGGGGTGCTGTTCCACTCTCTCAGGAGCAGGATTTGGTCCCTCAGATTGTGGTTTCTCAGTTTCAAATGATGCATTTGTTGCCTTAGGCTTTAACTTCAATACCAGGATCACGTATTAGTAAATCAAACCATAACTAAGCAATTAAACTAGTTTTTTTGCAGAGAAAACATCAACACTCGGAACAAATTAAAACAAGAACTTCCACTAAAATTTCACTAAATCAAATAATACTTTCAGCACTAAAAGGCAATAAACCAACACATCTCTGACCTTAATCACAAACCCTAATCCCATCACCATCCCTAAACAAAAAACCAATTAAAAATCAAACCTTGACACCTAAAAGGCAACATAATTATAAAACAAACAGAAAATCAAGCACAGGACACATAAACTGCTAGCTCGTTTGGATGTGTATTTAAAATGATTGAAAGTGCTTTTAGATCCAAAAGCATTTTATGTGCTTTCTACAAGAAGCTGTGCTTTTCCAGATAGCATAAGTACTTTTTCAGAATTTACTTGTATTTTTAATGAATATTTTCAAAAATATTTTCTCTAAAACGCTTTCAATTATTTTAAAAGTTTTAAAAGTAAATCTCCACAAGAAGAGAACAATTAACCCATTAACCAAGAAATCAAAAATTAAAAAAAAACCATAAAAATATTTAACGTGAAATTAAAATGTAGCATGTGGGTTTTGCAAATGTAAAATTAAAAAAGAAAAAAAAAAGCAAAAAGCTTCAATATTTACTGTAAAAAAAATGGCAGGAGAGAGAAATTTCACCGTGTGAGGCTGAGCTTGCGCCATTTCTTCTTTCCTGGAAGCAGCTCCCCTCTTCCCCATCTCCCTCTTTCTTCTCTTTCACTTTTCAGAGCTCTGCTACTTCTTCTGACCATTTACTGAGAGAGCAAGTGAGATTTTAACTTGTCCTTGGAAACGTAAAAGGACCAGATGGTAATTTTGGACCGTAATTTCGAGAACTCTCGATCTCAGCCGTTCAACTTCGATGCCTTATTTAAATTGTTCAATCTGGCCCTCTAATTTGTCAGTGTAATATTTGGCGCCCCTTGCATATATTTTGACCTTTCTCCGTGGGTTCACTTTATAAGAAATTTGTGCCCTTGAAGTGGGCCGGGCCGGATCTTTTCCTCTTCTTCTGGGCACATAAATTGGGCCCATCATTAATACTAGCGGCCTACTTACGAAGCAGCACTTTGCTTCGGTTTGGCCCATCAATTTTGTTGAAAACAGCCCACAACTAAAATTTCTCCGTATGAACAAAAAAAATAAAAAAATTCCCGACCTCGTGTTCATCACTCTCAACTCAAGAGTCCAATTCCTCATAACCGATTGTGTGCTTGGCTTGTGTTTTCAGTTGTACACAATGTTTGAAATTTTTTCGATACGGTGATATTCTGTGAACATATAGGAAAAATCAAAGAGAGATATGGAAGGGGTGAAGTTTCATATCGAAGAAACTCTTGAGTTTCGGCTAAAATTGATAGATTTCGTCCTTATTTCTGACATATCGGTTAAATATCGAAAAAAACTCTTATATTTTGTCTAAATCAGTGTTTGACATTCTCTAAAGTTTCTTTTGAAATTTTCATAATTTCCATTGAAAGCAACCCATACCAATTTCAATTTGTGGTTAATACCAGCCTTCACGTAAATGGATTAATTATTAGACCTAAGTAAAACTGGAAAATTTACTTGTTTGACTGTGGCTCATTGTTGTTCAACATTGCAGAGCAGTATTTAGTCTTTAAAAACTGTGGTTTACTCAGCAATCGATAAAGAAAACCATGAATGAAAAAGAGTGCAACGAAAAAAATAAAACAACATTAATGAGATATTACAACATTCTGAAATCTCTCATTCCCTCCCTGTGGTGCAGGTTGTTCGTGATCGAACCATTACTATTCGGAAAACTTTATTTGTGTTGGAGTTAATTCAAAACTAAAAAATGCTTAAACTGAATAGGTGTCTGTCAAATAAGCTGAAACATATATATTAAAATGGTTAGATTGAGCGTGTCATGGGAGGATATGTGCCAATGCATATGGATAGTATAAGTGGTAAATGAAACCTCCAAATTTATATTTCTTTTCCTCAATATATATATATATATATATATATATTTTTTTTTTTTTTTTCAATTGAACTGTGACAGTTTTCAATAATATCAAAGGAATTGCATGCGGTGGAATTAGCGGCTAATATAGCCTAACAATATAGTCTAACAATATAGTATGGTAGCGCCTTCGGCATAGTGTGGTGGTTGCAGATATATAACTTGCTACGGAAGCTCGTGCAATGGCTATTGGGACAAGTTAACAATAGTAAGTATTAAGAATTTTGCTCTGTTAGTGAATTTTGTTATGTATTAATCTTTTTTACGGTATAAATTCAAGAGAGAATAAATGATTGGACTATTTTGCCTGTTCATACTGGGCCGGTTGAATGCCTTTCGTTTTTTACTGATATGTACATTTGATATTTGATCTTATTTTTTGCTATTTTTTTTATAAGTAGGGTATTCCAGGGTTTTAAAACATTACACATAGTCCTTTCATGTTCTTGCTTTATATATAGATACAATATATTACTATTTTTTGCAAATATAATATACTAATTATTTTGTTGGTTATTATGCATCATAAATCTGCGTTATCTGGTATACTATAAACACGGGAATTAGGACATGCCTTTCACAACACAATTTGCTTACTCACCTAAACCTGCATGTTAGATCATTTTAGTGATAGCGTTGTCAGAGGTAAAAATGATAATTTTTTGTTAATTATAATTACCAAAAAAAAAAAAATTATGACTCTTTTTGTCAATAAAAATCTTGACTTATAAGTCAACAACTTTTATTGACAAAAAAAATCATAATTTTATTTTAGTTTTATGTAATGGTAATTAAATAAAATTTAATTTATAATTTTTACGTCTAACAATTCCGGCACTAAAACTATCTAAAAGGCAAGTTTGGGTGATTTGTGGGAGAATGTTCTAATTCCCTGTGATTATAGAAGTTTATAGTGCATAATAACCAACAAAATAATTAGTAGGTTATATTTGAAAATAATAATATATTCTATCTGCATATAATACAAGAGAATGAAATAATAACGGCCTCTCCTTAAATCTATAAACCCACTGAAATGACCATGCTTATCAAAATACAGTAAAAGAAAACAATTAAATATCAAATGGTCAAAACAGTAAAATAAGTTTTTCAACTGGCCGAAGTATGAACGGGGTACATAGTCCAATCATTTCTTCCCTTAAATTTATCTCAAAAACCGTAAAAAGGATAAATACAAAAGCAATAACACTAACCAAAGTTTATAGTTCACTAATAGAAAATAAAAAAATTCTTGACTATTTCTCTTGTCCCAAGAGCCATAACACTAGCCCCGGTAGTAAGTGATGAGTTGAATATCAGAGTGCGGAACAAATAAGACTAAAATAATAAGAATTTTATTGAACAAACTGAGAATGCCGAGACGGCTACAAAAACTCTAGAGACTACATTGTGACTAACTTATCTCTCAAACTAAATTACAAGCTCTATTTATAGAGCAATAGACCTAAGAAACCCTAATGTGTAAATGCCAAAAATACCCGACTACAAAATCAAATCAAAGC